GAGCATGTCGAAGGCAATTTCCCGTTCACGCAAATGTGGAAAGTGAACAGCCTCCCGAGGATAGCTTTCTTTGCTTGGAAAATTGTTCGTGAGTGCATTTTGACTACTAATAAACTAATGAAAAAAGATAAGATCTTGGTTATCTAATGCTGTCTACACAAGAGAGTGGCTGAGATTGGCGACCATGTTCTGCTTTGATGCCCCATCGCATACAGTTTATGGTTTATGCCTTTTGGGATCTTAGGGTATAATTGGGTTATGGCTGGATCTGTTAAGAAGGAGGTGTGGGCTTGGAAAGATATTACAAGTACGAAAAAAACATTTGGAACTTATTCCTTTAGCAATCTTTTGGCTTATGTGGAAGGAAAAGAATAAGAGGGTCTTTGAGGGGGTGGAGGAGGGATTAAATAAAATTGGAGAGAGATGGTTCTAAATCCTTCATGTTTTGATTATGAGCCAACAATTGTAATCTATGGAGAATCTAGAGGAACTAATTAATACACTAACTGATTGTAAAGTTTTTTGTACATGGGTTGCACACCTTTGGTGTTTGAAATTAATGATACTATTTATACTTTTTATTTCAAAAAAATTGTAAGACTGCCTTTATAAGGGAAGAAGAACAGTGAAATAACTAGACAGCAAAACCCCCAATCCATTCATTTCACCATCAGTCTAGTGCTTTTTCTCGGAAGCTTAAATCCCAAGTTCCTTTATCCATGTACCTAATCCTTTATGCCATATTTTATTAGGAAGAACATCAACAACAGTAAATAGTTCTAAAAAGTACTTCCTCAACACATTTCTGATGGAGCAAATTACATACCCAAGCCCCAAGGTACGTAAGCAAGGAGGTTGATATGTAACCACTACCCACTGCTTTCTTCTTTCGCAGGCGAAGGACTAATGATAGAGATTATGTTACAATATTAGGGGTTTCCGTAGCTCTCCTGCACTTATCTTTTACTGAAATTAAAGTCTTTCCAATAAAAACCAAAATTGCAAGTTATCACCTTCCACCTCCTGAACAAGAAGAAAATCTAGTAGAGCAACATAAAGTAAGATAACAAAGAGAGTGTTGCTTGACCATGAAAATTACCAGCAAGAAGGGTACCACGGCGGTTGAAGGCAATGCACTTCATGACCCCATTCTCCAAATACTCCTCTATCACTTCCGGAAAATCTCCTTGCAGTGGATCTTACATGAAACCCAATTCATATAAATAAGAAAACCCACATTAAAGAGGGGGGGGAAACCATGTAAAAAGGAAGAAGCTCACCTATAATTGGAGCATTCATGTTTTATGCTTGTTCTGGCACGCCAACTCTATAGAAAAAGGAAGTAAAAGCAAGGATTAAGCTCTACGAATTTTAGAAAAGGAAGAAGAAAAAAGTGTTGCAACAGAATAACACTTAGTATAGCCAGATGAGGCAGAAGAACATTATAACAATTTATTTAAAACACACTAATTTAGCATGTCAAATAAACTCAAATTTGCCGCTAAACTATATAAAGATGGTGTTATAAACCCATCACACACTAATCTAATAAAGAAACATGTAAGCAAAACCAAACATGAAGTAGGAAGGTCTTAGGCACCCACCTTTACATGCAAATATTCATCGGAGCCAAAGACATACGTAAGCGCATTAAGGTGCATGTGGCATCCATAGTAAAAATTCAAATGGTCTTATAGCCTAGTAAAATCCAACGAGCCATTAGCCCAAAATACAGCCTTCTAATGCAGTGGGGCATTTATACATTCCAAAATAAAAACAAGAGAAACCTTATGAAGATTTTAAAACAGAAATGGAAAGAACATGAAATCCTGCAATTATTGTCAGCTTCCTTTGATATGACATAATAAAGTGCCAAGAAACTAAATAAGGACATGTTAATATCAAATGAATGAGATGAATGAATAGAACAAATAAATGAGGCGAAGCAAACTTGTATCCTTAAAATTAAATAAAACATTGTATACATTGAGAGATAGGTGGTTTCATTTTTTTGGTAATATGTTATTGGGGCGTGACATGATGAGTGGAGTAGATTTTGGGGTTGTCATTGATACCCTCACTAGAATGTAAATTTACTGCATATAAGCGGTACCCCCTTTTGGTACGTTGTTTATAATACTACATTAGCACTTTTTATTTCAAAAAAAAAAATGTATATCAAATAATGAATAAATTAGAGGTATGAGATTTAAAGTATTTGGCATGTTAAGATCTTTTACCTAAATATCAATGAGCCACGGGATTTATCACAAAAACATGTTATCAATGAGTATGAAGAATAATTTATGAACCCAAGCCGCCAATATCTACCAATCAATTCATGGCTAACAAGCTAATACTATTATGCCAGCTCATGTTTCAGTTTAACAAATCTGCTTCCAAGAGAAACATGGGCAACTTTAATATTTTATCAGATAAGCAGAAAGTTTCATGCATTCACACGTATTACAACGATTTATTTAAACCAGAACCAGAAGTCAAATTTCAAAGGTGCATCACTCAAATTAAATTGCTTCACCATGACACTTAATGAACACAATCATAGTCCACACATACCGAGGGAGGCAGAGTTATAGCAGGATGCACGGATGATGTTATCATGAGTAGAACAGCAAGGCTGGAAAGTCTAAGAATGCAAAAACAGAAACCATACCTAGCCAAGCTTTCAAGAAAAAGACAAACATCACAGGAGAGCCGTATACAAGTTTTACAAATACAGGTTCATGCATCCAACCTACATAAACATGCACTCAAACACAGACTTCCATGAACAACAAAAAAAGTTGCTAGATGCAGAATAGATGAAAAACCCAAATCCATATGCTCTTTGTGACAAAGAATCAAAAGGAGATCAAAGGTAACACCCCAAACAGAGTCTACCTAAATCAACTTGAGACAATATTGGCATGACCCCAAACCCAAGAAGACTCATATCATTATCAGTTCAGCCCCAGAAATAAAACAAAAACAAACAAGACATTCATGCATGAGAAAGCCGAGATCAAGTTACATATAAAAAGATTTCAAAACTTTTAAGTTCAAAGTCTCTTGCCAGTAAAGCATGCTAGATTTTTGAAATCAAAGGATAGATTTAAGATTATATGCAGCCCGTGAAATGAAAGCATCATGATATACATAGTCCAACTAGCAAGGCGACTACAATGTTTCAACTCCTCCAAGCTTGACTGCTAGAGGCTTGAATCATGTGATGCCAAGGGGAAGTGAGCAGACTTTGAGTAATGAATGAGCTAGAAGGAAAAAAAAAAAATAGAACTCCTGAAACCTAGGAGCCTGAAGAAGATTGGTGACGAGGAAGCGGTTTTCGTGTTTCTAGGATTTTCATTGTTCTGCCAGAGTAGTCGAGAGAGAGCAGATAATGGCTGCTGATGAGAATAAGAGACTGAAAGGGGGTTTTCTAAGTTGAGGGAGGAGAAAATAACATTGATACAACAACTTTGGGGCATTCAAGCTCTGTGCTTGTCACCAGTGCTATACAAAAAAAGAAAGCAAATATGAAGGATAGACTAAAGCTAACATGAATTCCAGAGAAGGAAGAAGAAGAAGAAACTACGGTAACAGACTAACACTTATTCAAAGCGAGATGAAGGTTTGAACGAATACATTCGTATTGAACAAAAAATGAACAGACAAAAGGATTAAAATATACCAAGCAGCGGACCCAAGGAACTTGATTCAGTCATTTGTGAATGAAATAAGATAAATAAACAATACGACCGGGCCCTTCTGGGACTCAAGCAGGAAACCAATATTTGCATAATATAAAGGGCTATCATATTGTAACAACATTCAAATACAGCAAAAACAGAGTATATTATCTGTCCTCTAAACAGAAAGGAAAGTCACATCATAGCTACTGAAATCAAGAGAAGCATTAGGAGAAACAGAAACAAGGAACTTGATTAAGTCATTTGTGCCAAAACCACACATTCTATTCATATTTAACAAAATGAAAACAGTTAAAAAGAAAATGGCGAAAGAAGGAGAACCAGAGGATACCGTTTGTAATCGAGTCCCTTACCTCCAAAACCCACTTTTCTTCCGGTTCGCCTTCCTCTTCTGAAAAAGCCAGCAACTCTCACTCTCCTCCTGTTCGTTCAATTCTCAGCTTCTCTCGCTCCACCTTCTCCTTTTTTTTTTTCTTTTTTTTTTTTTTCAAAAATCGCCTTCTTTCCCCCCCATTTGCTCTCTCTCGAAATTCCTCTTTTCTAAACCCTAACTCCCTTCCCACCAAAATGGCTCTCTTTCTCTTGACTAGTTCTCCGTTTCTTTTGTAGCTGAAGGCCTCTCTCGCCTTCACGCATGCCTCTTCTCGTCGTCTTCTTCTTCAGCCAGTCACAGCTTTGTCCCTCCTTTTGATTCCCCACGTCCAGGACACCCTATGTCTTCATCACAGATGTTGTCGCGCTGACCAATTGGTTTTGCTTCTGTCCTCCACTCCTCTTTTCACCAAACCAGACAGAAAGCTTCTCTCTCTCTCTCTCTCTCTCTCTCTCTCTCTCTCTCTCTCTCTCTGTACGTCTACTGCAGCTCTGTCTGTCTCTCTTCTCCTATTAGTAATTTAATTTATAAGAGAATGATAAAAGAGAGAGAGAGAGAGATGAAAAATAAGGGTAAGGGAGAATGAGGGAAGACCGAGTGAATGTGACATTTAACGTTGTCGGAGAAGGAATTTACCGATAGATAAAGAAAAAGGGTTTGAAGATTTATTTTATTTTTTTAGTATAAATTAAATTTAATTAATTTAGAAAATAGTTAACAAAAATATTTATTAGAATTCAATTCTTTAAAAATATTCAGAAAAATATTTTGTCACCAATAAAGTATCATAGCTACAAATGAATTAGTAATTCGTCAGTGTACTAAGATTATGCGTAGAAATTAATTCCTAACTTGTTTTTTGTGTTTATTGAATTTTATTATTTTATGAATAAAATTTTATTATTTATATTCTAATATTTATTTTATATTCGTAATTATAATTTTTAATATTCATCTTATTACATACAATTAAAATATAATTTATTTATGTTATATCATAAGTATTTTAATTGTAATTGTTCAAATTTAATACTAATATAATTTAAAATTTTACAAAAATATAATTCATATTGTATTCGTCAATCAAATATCTCGTAAATAAATTATTATAACATTATTTTTTTATTATTATTATTTTATTATTTTAACTTGACAAAAGTAGCTAACAATTCTCTTTCTATTTATTGCACTTTTAATAGTTATCTAGAGGATAACATATCTTCTTTCATTTCATTTACCTTTTAAAAATGTTTTGATTTTCTTTTCCTTATCATATACCTTATATATTAAATATTAAATTCATTCATTAATACAGATAAAAATAAAAAAAAATTTAATATAATATTTCATAATAAAAAAATTCATATTCATAAATACTTTAAAATATAAGTATTCAATGATTTAATAATTAATAATAACATTCAATTGGTTTTTAAATTTAGTTAAAAATATATAGTTAATGTCGACTATATTCAAAACATTTTCAATGAATTTGTTGGCTAAGTGGATTAGATTAAGTCAAAGATTGAAGGGCATCACAACTACTTGCTTAATTTCGATATATTACAATATTAGAGTTTTTATGAAATATATTAATAATTACTAGTAGAAATTAATAATATGCAAATACTAAAGTTTTTATTTAATATAAAATAATTATTAGTAAAATTTAATAATATTATTAACAAATAATAAAAGTAACGAGTAATAATTAAAATTTATGATATATTTGATATAATAAAAAAAAAATCTATGATTTTAATAAATATTAATTGTAAGACATTATCTATACAATTAAAATAGATGATTGTTATGTGAATTATTTTATAAGTATTGAATAAATAATATCTAATAATGATTTTTCATTCATTAATATTATTGATGAATAATAATTAAGATTTGTGACAAATTATATATAATAAAAAAAATTACGATTATAATAAGTATTAATTGTTATATATAATATATTTTATCATTAGGTATCGATACAATTAAAATAAATAATTACTACATAAATTTACTTTGTAATTAATATTGATAAACTAATAGCTAACAATGATGCGTCCGACAAGGTGTCACTCACTTTAGATATATTAAATTAAATTATAAATAATAAAATTTATTTAAGTTAAAATAAATTATTAGAGAATTAAAGTAAATATATATTTTTAAAAGTAATTTATTTATTTATTTTTTAAAATTTATAAAAAGAAAAAGGTTTTAGACATGTACAACTTATAAAGCGGAAGGATAGGCGGTGTTGGGAGGGCAAAAATGTCAGTGATGTGAGCAGTTTTCCGTGAAAGAAAATAAATACGAGTGTTTTTGTCGTCTCAATCCACAGAGGGAGACAGGGAGAAAGAAGCCGAGACAGACAACGGTCTCTCCTTGAGTCGCCAACCCGCTGCAGCAATTCTCTACTCACAACGCTAGGTATTCTTCTTCAACAAATACATTGTACTGAATCGATCGGTTTATCTGATTTCCGTAGCTATTACATACTTGTAAGTTGTAGCTTTAGGTTTATCTGAACTACTAAGCTTCATTTTTCCTTCTCGTTTCACAGACCTTGTCCTTTCAATTGGATTTCTAGGTATTCTTGTTTTTCTTCCTGAT